TAGAGGGCAAAAATAGGATGTAATGTTCTTATTGTGTCATAGCTTGTCCCACAGACCAAAGGAATGTACGAGGGTGGGTGTGAAAATACTGTATGTGGCCTCTGACATAACTTACACCAAACCAAGTAGTCTAAACATATGGAGTAATTTTGGCTTCAAATTTTAGCAGGTCAGGAAGGATAATGGGAATTGGAAGTGAATGAAAATAGTATAGGATTCTGGGGAGCTAGGTAATTTTGATAGTATTAATCCTACCCAGCCAAAATAGATCATACATAGGCCAATGGTGCAAATCAGCCTTCAGCTTTTTGTAAAGAAGAAGATAGTTGAAACTATATAATTGTCCCATGGTAGAGGTAAGTTGGATTCCCAAATAAGGGATATGGGTGTATTTCTATTTAAACAGAAGATGTTCTTAAGGTGGTCAAGTAGCACTTTGGTTTTTGTCACATTGAGGGCCATGGACTTATTTGTTTGGAGACCAGAAACTGCACCCACCTTCACATATATTTTTTTTTTTTGGTGAAAAAGGTGAATTTATACTTTAAATAGTATGCTAAGCCAAAACATATTTAGTTTGCTTTAGGGTGAAGAAGGATTACAACCTTTGTCTATTTTTTACTGCTCTACAGGGCTCCATTAGAGAAATTAACGGTCCATGCCCAAGGACTGTTCTAGGTATTTATTTATGCTGAACATAAATCTCCTGGTGCTTTCCCATGTCCAGGGAACCACACATGGTGTGTACAGCCTACCATACAAGTGAATGGCTGTATGCAACTGTATTATAACCGCTGATAATTCTTTGCATCAGCATTAAGCTACATATGCCCGTCCAAGGGTATATGTAGCTTAATGCTGTCAATGTTTTAATGCAAAATTTTAGCGCCCGGGAAATACATCAGACATGCAGTGCTGGTAAACATCACCTACGGCACCAGGAAATTTACACAACTTTTTACATACAGAAATAAAAATCTAACGAGTTCTAGCCTCCTCCTGCTCTACTAAGAATACATGTTTTTCTGTCGATGTTGTTGTAGAGAGATTTTATTACTTCCTGTCTGGTAAAACGTGGTCAGCAGGATAGGAAGTAAGGGGAAATCTCTCTAATGGTGCATGGGGTAAGAACCCTATAGTGGTTCTTACCCCTCCCCACTCTATCCAAAACTTAGGGAAAAATAGTTTGTCCTGACATATGCTTTAATACTTAAAACACCATAAATATTATTTAACTTTTATGCTTTTATAATCAGGTCAGCAATGGTGAATATTCCTTGTATAACAGGTCTATCTTAATTTTGTTGTAATTATATAATATGGATATACTGTGTGTACATGTGTTGTGTATGTATGTGTGTATATATATATATATATATATATATATATATATATATATATATATATATATATATATATATAATACAGAACACCAGGGTTGGGTTCTGTAAGACAGGTGTATTCCCTCACTATTTGGGTTTTGGTCCCTTTAGGGGGAAGATTTGAAGGTAATGTTGAGTTCTCAGGGGTTCTGACCTATGCAGGAGAGGGGTTCCTGTGTAGTCTCACTGGAGAGGACTAATTTTCAGAACTCTCTGGATTAATACATTCTGGAATTTTGTAGATTCGTTTTGGGTGGGAAGAAAAACCTCCAAACCTGATTACAGGGATTTTGGTCCTGAAGGGGTTAAGTCCAGAAAAAAGAAGAGGATACAGTCAGAGATGGATACCTGAGTGAGCAGGGTGAACTCAGCTTGGGGTTGAGCAATGGTAGCTGAGCTCTGAAAACCTCCTGAAGCCAGCAGGAAACCCCAGAACCCCAGAGCAGGACCAGTATGGTGGCAGTACCCCGTTACCTTCCTTCTTATTGCTGTGAGAACAAGACATATGAACCATTTTTTGTCAGTCACTGTTCAGTGCTCTGCCCCTCCTGTGCTAACTTCAGTAATTTGAACTCCAGTAGCTCTTCTTTTGAATCGGACTACACAGGCCAACCTTGGCTCCATATGTATATCAATGAGCGTTGGCCGCCATGACCCTATTACTGGTTCACCGGTTTTCCTTTCTTGGATCACTATTGCTAGGTCCTGAACACTGCAGACCAGGAGCATCCAACCAGAACGGCAGTCTTGGTGTTGCCCTGACCCAGTCCTTTGGCTATTAGCATTTGGCCCTTTTCAAAGCCGCTTAAATCCTTATCCTTGATCATTTTTCTGCTTTCAGTGTGTCAACTTTAGGGATAACATGTTTACTTGCTGCCCAATATATAATAACTCAACTCACATTCAGATGTCTGTGTAACAAAATAATCAATGTTATTCACTTTATTTGTAAGTGGTCATAATCTTATGGCTGATCTGTGTATATATAATGGCAGGGATTAGTGTGTAAACTTTTCAATGGCATGTAAATGAGTATGTATTTCATCAGTCTTTGTAGGTCACCTTTAGGATTCTTGGAATTTACTCTGTATAAAATCCATGTCAGAGAGTGAAAAGGAAATATTTGATGTAGATAAGCGATCAGATAATGAAATCTTCTGTTTTTCAGGTACAACGAAGAGGGAAGAATCCACATTTTGCAGCACATGTTGAAAAACTTGATTTAAATGGAGAAATTATTTATTTGTTCAAGCTGAGTGTAACAATACAAACATTGTCAGTAAAAATACATCTCTGGCTATACAACTAGCAAAAGGTAAAAGGTGTTTAAATTGGTATTTATCAATCATAAGTTGTCATAGGGCTCATTCACACCAGCAAACCAGGCTTATCGCACAGGCACTGGTGTACGCTGGAAGCAAATAGTGTTGATGCACTGATCCCGGTTCATTGTGTTTTTACTTTTTTTCTTTCTCATTAGATCTTGCTTGAAATATCACAAGTAACATTTTGCATTCTATTCACACAATGGCATTGCGATGGTAGACGTTGTGCAGTGACTTCATATGGAACAAGGCTTTCTGCTTTGCCATGAGACGGTATTGGTCATTGTGAAAAGGTGTTTAGCACATTCCCAGGGTAGCTGGTGTGAATGAGCCCTTCAAGTGTAACTCCATTCTTGTTGAGGGAAAAAAGTCCCTCTAGATGAACTGTATACATTCAATGGGGCAAAAAGTGCAGCGCTTAATTATAAAACATGATTACATGAAGTCAGAATAGGAGCAGGAACTCGACTTTTCCGAGTCACCCATTGTCTCCACCCTTTACCCACCTCTGATCACCGTTCCTTGGTTTCACCCACCTCCCAGTATCACCCTTTTAGAGAATACAGAACCCAGTATCATTTTGTATGAAATTTTGTTAATGTTAACAGAAAAGCAGTAAAATAAATCCTGTGCAGCCAGCAACAATAGATCCCTCAAGCAACAATGGACCACCAACAAAATACCCCCAAGCAACAATAGACCCCTGGCAGCAACAACAGATCTCCCACCAACCAGCATCAATAGACCCCCTCACTCAGTAGTTGACCCCTCCAAGCAACAACTGACAACCCAGCAACAAAAGACACAACTTCAGCAGCAATAGATCCCCCACCAGCAACAATAGACCTCCAGGAACAATAAATCCCCTAGCAGCAATAGACTCTACAGCACACCCCAGCACCCCTTGCTATTATATACAGTCAGTGCTGAAGGGTTGGGTTCTGTAAGGCAGGTGTATTTCCCCACTATTTGGGTTTTGATCCCTTCAAGGGGATGATTTGAAGGTAATGTTGAGTTCTCAGGGGATCTCACCCATGCAGAAAGAGAGGGGTTCCTGGATAGTATCACTGGAGAGGACTAGTTTTCAGAACTCTCTGGATTACTAAATCCTGGAATTTTGGAGATTCGTTTTGGATGGGAAGAGCCTCAAAACCCTGATTACAGGGATTTTGGTCTTGAAGGGGTTAACTCAGGTGTTAACCCCCAGCAGCAATAGACCCTGCAGCACACCCCAGCACCCCTTGCAATTATATAGAGTCAGTGCTGGAGGTGCCGGAGCTGCATCCCTCCCTTCTTCCCACTGAAAAAAAGCCCTGCATGAAATATACATGGTGTGTAAATATATTGAGCAGGTGAAAACTCCTTATAAAAACTATCAATCATCCATACACATAGAAACATAAAAGAGTGACAGCAGAAAAAAAGACAAAATGGTCCACTGTTTGCCCCAATTTTTTTTTTTTATGTATATACATTTTTTTTTTTACTTTTTTGAGTATAGATCTATGTTTGTCCCAACTTGTTTAACCACTTGCCAACAGGGCACTTTTACCCCCTTCCTGTCCAGGCCAATTTTCAGCTTTCAGCGCTGTCGCACTTTAAATGACAATTGCGTGCTCATGCAACACTGTACCCAAACAAACTTTTTATACCGTATATACTCGAGTATAAGCCGACCCGAATATAAGCCGAGGTACCTAATTTTACCACAAAAAACTGGGAAAAACTATTGACTCGAGTATAAGCCCCATCATTAGTATCAGTGGGAGGAATAGTGCCCCATCATTGGTGTCAGTGGGAGGAATAGTGCCGTATCAGTGGGAGGAATAGTTTCATTGGTGTCAGTGGGAGGAATAGTGCCACATCATTGGTATCAGTGGGAGGAATAGTGCCCCATCATTGGTGTCAGTGGGAGGAATAGTGCCCCATCATTGGTGTCAGTGGGAGGAATAGTGCCCCATCATTGGTGTCAGTGGGAGGAATAGTGCCCCATCATTGGTGTCAGTGGGAGGAATAGTGCCCCATCATTGGTATCACTGGGAGGAATAGTGCCCCATCATTGGTGTCAGTGGGAGGAATAATGCCCCATCATTGGTGTCAGTGGGAGGAATAGTGCCCCATCATTGGTGTCAGTGGGAGGAATAGTGCCCCATCATTGGTGTCAGTGGGAGGAATAGTGCCCCATCATTGGTATCACTGGGAGGAATAGTGCCCCATCGTTGGTGTCAGTGGGAGGAATAATGCCCCATCATTAGTATCAGTGGGAGGAATAGTGCCCCATCATTGGTGTCAGTGGGAGGAATAGTGCCCCATTATTGATATCAGTGGGAGGAATAGTGCCCCATCATTGGTATCAGTGGGAGGAATAGTGCCCCATCATTGGTGTCAGTGGGAGGAATAGTGCCCCATCGTTGGTGTCAGTGGGAGGAATAATGCCCCATCATTAGTATCAGTGACACCAATGATGGGGCACTATTCCTCCCACTGACACCAATGACACTTGCTGACCCCTGTTGCAGTATGGTGCTGCTGCAGCCAGCATATGTGGTTGCAGCAGCACCTCTGCACTGCACACTTACCGGCTTTTCCCTCACTCGATTTTCGCGGGTCCGCTCGGCTCCGCCTCCTCGCCCGTGATTGGCCGCCTGTGTACCTTTCCTGAGCTACAGTTCTGGCGGCCAATCACCGGTGAGGAGGCGGAGCCGAGCGGCAGGAGTGAGGGAGTGGCCGGAGTGACGGAAGGAGCAGTGCTTCCTGGATGGATCATCGTGGGAGCCAGGTAAGAGACAGCAGCCCTCTGCCCACCCCGGTACGCGCCCCCCTTGACGGAGCCTCGCGCCCCCCCATCTGCAGACGTTGACTCGAGTATAAGCCGAGGGGGCCGTTTTTCAGCTCAAAAAATGTGCTGAAAAACTCGGCTTATACTCAAGTATATACGGTAATTTTTTTTGAGACAGATAGAGCTTTCTTTTGGTGGTATTTAATCACCACTGAGTTTTTTTATTTTTTTGCTAAACAAACTAAAAAAAAGTTTTTTTTCTTATTTTCCGTTTTACAATTTTGTAAATAAGTACAGTAATTTTTCTCTTTCACTGATGTGCGCTAATGAGGCTGCAGTGATGGGCATCACTGGTGGGCACTGAAAGGCAACACTCATATATAACACTGACGGGCACTGATAGGCGACACTGACAAACACTGATAGGCAGCACAGAAAGGCAGCTCTGATGGGCACTGATATGTGGCATGGATGTGGCACTGGATATGCATTGATTGGCACTGATGCGCATGTAGCATTGATGGGCACTGACAGGTGCAATTATGGGCACTGACAGGTGGCACTGATGGGGCTACACTGATGATCAGGGCACTGATGATCAGTGTACATGTCCCCTCTGAGGAATGCTGCTTACAGCATGAGGCAAGGACTGCCGATAACCGGCATTTCCTATTTACATGCGATCAGCTGTGATTGGACACAGCTGATCACATGATAGAGCCTACATCATCGGTGCTTTACTGTGATCTCTGCGCTGCTCACCCCCCGGGGGCACGCGTGCGTAGCTATAGTGGGAGGATGTGATATGGACAAGAGAACCATGGCCCGTCTGTCACTTCCTTATATGGCGGGCAGTAGGCGGTTAAATCCATTTACTGTTGACAAACTCACTATACTTTCTAAGACTACTTTTGAACTTTCATCCTGCTAATTTCAGGTTATGGGCCAGTGTTGTTGATCTTGGTTTCATATTGAAAATGCTGTCCTCCTGAACCTTATTCACTCCTTGATGTATTTAAAGGTTTCAATCATGTCTCCCTTTTCCCTTCTTTCCTCCAGACTGTACATATTAAGATCCTGAATTAGCTCCTGATATCTTTTATCTGTGTGTTCTGTCATGTCATTTCTCAAACTGAGTTCTAAGTTCTTTCACTAAAATCACCCTAGCAAAGTCAGTGCCATAATGAGAAAAGCTGCAGTGTCTTCAACTCTAGGTGATGCAGAACAAAAACAAAAATACCAAGATAAAAGTTCCTATTCCAGGTGATGCTTTAAATAAAAAAAAAAAAATCTGTGAGCCAATTAATTAGAATAATAACAGAAATCACCCAAATAGCCCTGATCAAATGTTTACATACCCTGGAATGTTTGGCCTTGGTACAGACACACTCTGTGTGGATGCACTGAGAATGCTAGATACTGAGCCATGGGGAGCAGAAAGAACTGTCAACAGACCTGCATAACAAGGTAATGGAATTTTATAAAGCTGGAAAAGGATATAAAAACCTTGAATATGCCAGTCAGTACCATATGTTATTAAAAAGTGGAAAGTTCAGGGATCTCTTGATACCAAGCTAAGGTCAGGTAGATAAAGAAAGAATGCAGCCACAACTGCCAGAAGAATTGTTTGGGATACAAAGAGAAAACCATAGGTAACCTCAGGAAATAGAGGCTGCACTGGAAAAGGACAGAGTGGTTGTTTTTAAGGAGCACAATTCGATAATATTGGAACAAAAATGAGCTGCATGGTTGCCAGAAAGAAGCCTATACTGTGCCAATGCCACAAAAAAAGCCTGGTGAGGCATGCCAAGGTGTTGTCGGGGATATTGTTAATGAACTTTGGCTAGAATGCTGCTCAACATAGAGAGCAGAGGTCCAACATACCATCTGCATGGTGTTCTAGTCAACAGCACTCATGCTCCTATGAGCAATGGTCTGGATAGCCAGTGTGCTGTCAGCATTGGGCATTTTAACTGTAGCTGGAAAACACTAGTTCATTGAAAATATAAAAGAAGCCAACATCTATTAGTGCTTTACACGCAATAAATACAGAGTATTCAATTTGGGTTTAAAGGAAACCTGCCAAAATAGAAATATTGGTGCTGCCATTGCTGACTTGTTTTGGATAACTGCATGCTGGGAAGTCACCATCTTCATTTGTTCTTCTTTGTGTTGTGTCAGTGATGAGTTCCTGCCATAAAACAAGCATGTGCTCATCTGGTGTTGGTGCACCTAATACAGGCATACTTGTTTTATGACAGTGACTAAACACTAAAGTTAAATGCGTGGAACATGCATGCACCCAAGTCAGCAGAGCCAGCTCCCTATATCTTGACAGATACAAACCTATATGGAGAATTTGAAGCTAATATATATTGCACAAAACATATATTATATCCATATGTTATCATTCTTAAAGTGGTATTAGACCCCCCAAAAAATGTACAGTATTTCAGCATACTAATCCTAAAGGTGGGAATACACGATTAGAAAATCGACCGATTGGTCATCCGATGACCGAGAAGCATTCGTTCGTTGGTCGAAATCGTGGCTCACATTAACCAATCTAAAAAAATCATTCGTCGGGCAATACATAGTGTTGACATCTTCCGTACAAGTGGAAGTGATGCAGTGTGCGTGTGACCTTGTAGCAACGCCCTTCTGGCCAGAACGAGCGATATACACAACAATTACCAGCAATGAGTAAAATATAGTTTATTACATTACCTATATACATAAATAGTGATACATAAAATATAATATGCAGAATTCTGGTTTCATTATCTCATTAGGACAATCTACTTTTAACATTTGGATTTTTCATTCGTGTTTACGAAGATTCCTTGCACATAAACATCTGGGTCATCTTCTGTTTCAGCTCACGCATGATAGCGCTTGATAGATTTTTTTTTTCATACGACTGTCATACCAACGCATAGAAAATTGGTCGTTTGTATGCGAAACGACAATATTTTTCACTGTTGTTTAACCAGATTTGTTTGTTCACAATATCATTATCGGTTAAAACATCCTGCTCATCAACGAAGAGAAAATCGTTTGATCAATGGTTCCGCAAAAATTTTTGTACGATTTTCTTATCGTGTGTACATTAGTATGGTGGCTCCATTTTGGATGATGTAGTAAAGCAGACACTTTTGGACAACAGCATTGTCACTCTGGGGAGAGGGGAGTGCTGGACTAGCAGATTTAGATGAACTTGGCTAACAAATTGAAGCTCAATTTCAGCTAACACTTTTTAAGCAGTTACAGCAACAGTTTTTTTTTTCTTTTGGAATAAAGGTTTTTCATAAATGAATAAAAGCTGACCATTGTAAGCACCCCTGTTATTTGTTAAATGATTTTTTTTCAACCCTTTAACAGCTACTTTGCCTGGACAGTTTGGTCTGTTAAAATGAAAAAATAACAGATTTGGCTGGATCACCAGGTGAAAGTAAAGTAAAAAAGCCTAAATAAAGAAAACTAATGCATCCACCACATCTAAGAATTAGTGAGCTTCAATTTAATACTTTTTTGTTTTTTGGGTTTAATACTGTTTAACCTTGTTGTGATAACCCACCCCCATTGAAGGTTCTAATATGAACCCCAGTACCCATTCACCAGACTGTCAAAAGCACCAGCGCAACTACTTATGAGGTTTTTGTGCAAACAGGTATATGTCACCCACATGTCATCTGATGTATCATATCAATTTCTCCTCTTTAAATTCAGGTTCAGTTGTGCACAGTCCTGTTGTTTTTTTGTTAAATAATTCAGAGATTCAGTCCCGTAGCTCCATTGTTGATTGCTTTACTACAAAGGGATATGATATGAGCAGTTAAGAACCGCTGATATAGTTTGTCATTGCGTACTATGATATGTAAATGATAAACTTAAAGATATGTACAACCAATGCCACCCTGTACTCTTCGGGACCAGTTATGCAAATAGCAGCTTTCTTATGCTATCTGTTATATAGCCATAAGAATTCTCTCCACAAGGACTAATGATCTAAAGATAGGTTGCTAAGAAAGCGATGAGCTAAGGTTCGGGCCAAACCAAGTTCAGCAGAATCCCACATGATAGCAGACCACCAGCCCAATTGGTTGAAGTTGGGAAATTCCCTGCCCTACAGTCACATATAAAGGACGGGGATGCTGGTGACTTCATTGACATAATATGGCCACATTTGGACAATCGAATAAATATGGCTGTGTGTCCAGGTTAGGTCAATGATGTTAACAGTATCTCTGCCCCTTTGTTACATGTGGCTGCCAGGAGTTCTTGGCCAAAGCTGATTGGGCTGGTGGCCTGCTCTCATGTGTCAGTTTACACTGGGTTCAGCCCAATTCCTATCACTATTGCTGATGGATTGGGCACTGAACTACAAGATTCTAGAGGAAGACACTACCAGGATGTGTGGGAAAGGCGCTGCGTTGAGTATGTTCTCACAACTTATGCTGTCAATAAGTCCACACATGTTCACTCTGATTACATGGGGCCATAGGTTTGCCATGCTCAGAAAACGCCCTATTAATAGCAATAGAATGGAACTTTTGGTTAAATAATTTTCCTACTCAAATGAATACATCCTATTATATTTTGCAATTGAAAGTGCATAATTTTAGTAGACACTCACAGGTATTAATTTACTTATGCTTGACAGGTGATCCGAATACTTCAGTGAGAAACTTCAGCTGCATTTGGTATTATTTGGAACATGTTCAATGTACC